GAAGAATGAAAGATATGAATAAAAACATATCTTATAATATAATATGTTTTCAAACCCAAAGATGACTAAGAAAGTTGAAAATGTTAATTTTTAAATAAACCTGATTTATTTTTGTTTAAAGGTTTATTTCTTTTCAGTTTTGAAATTATAATTTTCCTTAATTAAGCATTAAAGCTATGTTCAGCTCTAGAACAGAAGATCTATTCATTTGACACCAGTAGGGAAAGATGGGAATGCATAAAAGATGCAGTCACTTGTCATTTATCCAAGGTACAAGTATAAGCATTTTAGGCTGAAATTTATTTGCTACATATTTTAATATTATAAAGCTTTTTTTTTTTTTTTTTAGGAAAAGGTATACAACAAACACAAGCATTGTATTGAAGAAGTTATGCTTCAACTTTGTTATCCAAGATTAGATGTTAATGTAACCAAACAAGTAAACCATTTGTTAAAAGCTCCATTTTGTGTTCATCCTAAAACTGGAAGAGTGTGTGTGCCAATTGACATCAGTAAAGTCGATGAATTTGATCCCTTTTCTGTTCCAACTATTACGTAAGTTAAATAATTTTTAAAAGTAAAACACTTCAAATTAATCATTTTAAATTTGATAATTTTGAAATGTGTTATAGTCAGTTATGTGAAGAAATAAATGCTTATGATAAAAAGGTAAACATTGCCACTTCAGAAACTGAAAGCATTGTAAAAAACCAGAAGATACAGGATTATGAAAAAACTTGTCTTAATGACAGCATAAAAGTGTTTAAGAAAGTTGTTAATGCAATGGTAGCTGCTCAAAAACTACCAAAGAAAAAAAAAGGTAAGAAGAATGAAATATTTAATGAAAACATACTGACTTCAAATAAACTTAATTTGTTTATTTTTCAGATTATACGCTTGAGTTTTGATACATACAAAATATATACTCGGTAGAAAATACAAAATACTCTCTGTTACATTATTTGCTTTGTATATTGAAAAATTATTTAAAATATTTTTCATTAATCTTTCATGAAATTTTTTTAAATAAAAAAATAAAAATTTTTTTCTCACTGAAATTAACTATATGCATTCTTTTCCATTGAATAATTGCTGAAATTTACCTTAGTTACATAATATGAAAATACAAATGTTCTCTGAATATTATTTTCCTTTCTTCCTTTTTTAATTTATCTTAAATTTTCTGACAAAATGTCTGTTAAAATAACTGTATTTAGTCAATATTAGACCAAAGACCATTTTTCTACAGGGTGATCAAACTCAAAAATATTTTATGAAAATTGTTTGCTTTATAATATATAAATTAAACAGAAAAAAATTTCAAACTTTCATTATAAAATACACGTATTTTACGCGATTTTGAAATAATGCACTTGACAAAAAAAAAACTTAATCCTATTTTTAGGCGGTGTATTTTTTAACACAGAAAAGAACAGTTTGTTTGAAAAATTTTAGCTATAACTTTTTTATTAAAATTGCATTACTATTTAAAAAATTCAAAAAAGAGTTGCGTAACTTTCCCGGCTGTTATGTAATTTTATTTTAAGAAAACTTCTATTAAACATAAGAAGTAAATTAAATTGTATGTGGCGCCATCTACTATCAGATATCGTTAAAGTTTTATATTATTTATTATTATAAAATGTGTAAAACTTAAATTTGAAGGTAGTGACGAGTTTTATAAAACACTGTAAATGCTAATAGTGAGTAAAATCGTCATTAAGTCCGATCTCACTCTAGATATGACACGTGACCACCCTCTATCTCTCCCCTCGATCTTTCACCATCAAAAGTTAATAGAGAGGTTGCGGCCTTACGTCGGACGTTCAGCGCCGCCTTCCTGTGAGCCTAGAAGTTTGACAATGGCGTTTGGAACGTCGAGTATAATTCTACTGATGTTCCAAACGCCATTGTCAAACTTCTAGGCTCACAGGAAGGCGGCGCTGAACGTCCGACGTACGCGTTTTCGCGTTGAAAACGTCGGCAGCAACCTCTCTAATAGCATCAATACCTTTTTATACACAAGCTACCGTGTCCAATTTCGTATCTTAATTTTCACCTGATATTAAATGAAATAGATGCCAACGCTCGCGCATACATACATATTCCTGGTATACGTTTTTTTGGGGTTCAAAGGTGTCAAACCATCACGACTCACGGAAGGTCAAATGTGACACGATTACAATACTTTCCCGTGTTATGTTATAGCAGCCGGGAAAGTAAAATAGAAGTAGGATTAATGGTGTACACATAAATCACAGCACGTCATTTATGTTCTTTGAGATCGGTAAATATGAAAACTATCGAAGGAACAAAATGTAATTCTAAATGTTAGTGTTAACTTATTTTATGACGTTATGTGCGTATTTCAATTGACTTTGTTCGTTCAGATACGGTTAAATCATAAATTTTCTAGGTATAAAATATCTAAAATTAAAAATCGAGTTCTAGCGCATATTACGGATTTATTAAAGGACACGTCCACCGATAAAATGTCAAATAAAGATGAAATGAGAATTGTGACGTTTGAGTTGACAATTCCGAAAAGTTTTCCGGTTGAAATCGTCCTGTAAACATGCGTATTCACGATTTTCGCAGATTTTGTGCAACACAAATCTTCTAAAAGNAATAAAACTCAGAAATTATTACTAATTGAAAGGAGGGAGAAAATTTTTTTATAAATTAAGATTTCACAATTTTATTTTTATAGGTCATCTTTAGCAATTATTGAAAAGTATTTTGAAGATTTAATTTTGGATAAACAAGATTATTTAAGCACAGAAAAAAACTGTAAGAAGATTATTTCACTTTTTAATGATGAAAATATCCTTTTTCACACCTACAATCATAATACGTGGAATCTTGCTTAATGAACATAATTCTTTCCAGAATCTTACTTGTAATGCAAAATACTCATTAAGTGAAACAATTTTTCTTATATAAATGAATGTAAAATACTATAATGCAGTCCATGCCGGAAAAATACTCAAATATTTTATGTATAACGTGTATTCAAAGAAAATTATACTGTATTTAATTATAACCTTTACATAGCCCAAGAATTTGGCATATTGTTTGGTGTGTTTATTATATAACAGGCTATGGTTGTTGATGTTTATATGTAATATGTCTGAACACAAGTTTTGAAAAATATGTGATCACAAGTGACACTAAACGTCGAGTTATAAACTTCGTAACATAACCATATGGCTGTACCGTATTCTTTAAGAAAAGTTTGGATTGACCAAACTTATGGTAGGGATACAGCGAATTGACGAACTGCGCATGTGCTAAGTCAGTCGCTATACAATCAGAAGTTGTACCAGAAGCAACAAATTGGTTGAAACATATCTTCTGACTGACAATGCTACTTCTGAACAATATAAAATTGTAAGATAAGAGTTACTTTGGTCATAAAAAAATAGAAAAATGATAAAATGAATAAATAATTATAGTGTAAAATCTGGCAATATCAGCCAATGATTTTGTGCATGCTCACAATGGACTGCTTCGTAAGCCGTAAAAAAAGTTTGTTCCTTAAAGGATATGGAAACGGCCTTATGGTATTTTATAACTATTGCTATAGATATCCAGTGTAGCAAACATTTACGAATATGGATGCAGTTACATTATGGAGTTTATAACTTGACCCTAAGATACTAGAGGAACAAGTGCTAAACACATACTGATGGAGCATGTGCACAATCCAGGACTTTCCCTCTCCAGGTCACTCATTATGCAAAATGTTGCTCATTGAGTGAGTCATTTTTTCACAATTTGTTTTGCTTGTTGTGTGAGGTGCTCATTAAGTGAGGTTTCACTGTATTGATCCTTAGTTTTTAAGTATATATAGTTATTTATTGCCATTTTCATAATTTAATTCAAATTTATATTAAGATTTAAAATAATTTTAAAATTAAATTGTATCTTAAGAACGTTTAGTAGTTAAGTTATAAGAATTTCCTATCTTATTTTTTTTTTCTTATTGCTTATATACACCCATGTCCAAAAACTAAGCATAATTGTCCAATCCAAAAATAAAACAAAAAGTAAAAGTGGAAAATTTATGTGATATTTCCAAATAATAAAAATAACCAGGATATACAGAGTTGAATGTTGCATTAAAAAGTACAAGCATATACAAAATATGCAGGCTTCATAAATACAGTAGTGTGTATTGTTTCTTAGTTTAACCATTGATGACAGTTTGATAATGTCACATAAATGATTTTAAGAGTGGAAGAATCATTGGAATGCTAGAAACAGGCCAGTTGCAGACAGAGGTATATCTAGGATTCCAAATGTGCTGCAGAGCATCATATTCAGGCTTTGGGCCAGATTTTAAAGAATGGTAGATGTTGGACATCAACTTGGAAGTGGATGTCTAAGAGTTACCATTCCTTAACAGAATCTTTGACATTAACTATGTTATAACAGAAGATTGTCTGGTAGGCAGTTCTGTGTAGAGCTGTCTATGGCCACTGGAGTTGGTTTCATGAAAAACTGTCTATAGAAGGCTTCAGACAAATAGTCTTTTTGCCAGATGCCCAATAATTGTGCTCTGTTCACTGAACAGTCCAGAGATAGTATACAGAATGATTCTCATCAGATTAGGATCTAGAGAGAGTGGGAAACCTGATAGTGCCATGAACACAGTGAAGCAAGACAAGTTTGCAGGTAATGGTATCATGGTCTAGGGTGGCATTATGTGTAATGGACACTGAATTTCATGATTTTGCAATTGAGTGCCATTACTACAAGATGAAACAGAGATGAGGTTTTGTAATTTATAAGACTTTTCTGAGATGCTATGGGCACAGAGTATAGATTTCATGGACAATAGTGCCAGTTCACATAAGATTGCACTAGTCAATGGCATTCTTGACAATGAAGATATTTGTTGCAAGAAATTGCCAGCAAGATTCTCAGACCTAAATCCCATAGAATGTGTGTGGGATAATCTGGGAGATGAATTACATTTCATCAGCATCTACCTAGAATACTCCACGAACTTCAAGATTGTTTTTATTTAAGGAAAATCTTTACTCCCAACAGAACTGATAAATGACATTTAAATCAGCATGAGCAATTGTTGTGCAGGAGGCAACATAAGCCATATTAATCATTTTCTGGTCAAAAAGATTTATAGCAATGCTTAGTGCTTCTCTTGTTTTCAGTTTGAATACTTTGGATAAAGTTTTGCTTTTTAATTGTTTTGTTACCCAAAGAATACAATATTCCACTGCTGTTCTGATCAGTGATCCCAGATATATAAGCCAAATTAATGGCCATGTTTAGTTTTTGGACATGAATTTAATATAGACTGTAACGATTTATCACTAATTATAAAAAGATTTTGTTTACTCAAGATATCTAATATTGCTTTACTATATGTTAAGTATTCTGCGACATTTATTAAAATTTATCTGATTAAAAAAGTTTTGCCAGACTAAAAACAAAACATTATTAGAACTTTATTAGACTTTTATTAATCTTTACATGTGATAGTGACAAAAATTACAGTTCTTTAATTTACTACATTTAGTCTTAATTTGATTAGGGGAGTAAAAGAACCTAGCAGAATAGTTATATTCAGAAGAAACCAAATAAATGGATTCCATAAAAGTATTTCTGCCAAGAGATTTCCAATCAGATTTTTCACAGCTTTATTTTTTTGCATTTATTTTGTTACATGTTTCAGCTATAGACTAAACAGCTGAAAATTAAATAGACCATACATTATAATAATTTCAAATTATTACAAATGCCATAAAGTTAAAACATGCTGATTCATCATTCTTGAAAAGAATAATTGTTACATTCTACAGCTGCTATGAACACCTCAATACATCACAATATAATTTATTTTATACCTACATTACAGTGATTACAAATGCATAAATTGCATTAATCTTAAATTTTAACATATGTATAATTGCTATAATAAAATAAAACTTTTCTTAAAAAATTTACATTACACACATTAATATTGTATTTTTGCACATGTTGAATTGAATGTTTGTAATTACTGTAAATGTGACT